TGACATGATTTTTCACTGCATGGTGCCTTGACTGCCTGACACTTGTGCCAAATAGGTGCAAAGTGCTATCAAATCCAATTTCACCTGTCGCTTATTCCAGTCAGTGTGTTAGAGAGGAAGGATGGCCTAGTGGTTTGGGCATTAGCCTAGGACTTGGGAAACTTGTTGAAACTGTTCCACAGTATTTAAATAAAGATTCATTTTAGCAGGGGGAGTGGATCCTGGATCTCTCACCTCCCAGATGGGTGTCCTAACCCCCAGGCTCGAGAGCCATTCTCTCTTGCTAGTCCAATGGTATTTATCAACAACAGTAAAATAGCTTTAAGAGGAGAGATTGAAAGAACCCAATGTCAGAATAGCCCATAGCTCAGAGATGGGAGTTCCCTGATCAAATCTCTTCTCCCCATCAGGCAGAGGGGGGCACTAAACCCAGGTCTCCCCTGTCCCAGGTGAGTGCTTTAACCACAGAGTTATACAGTGGCCACCACCTCTTCCTCCAGCCAGATTTTGAATGGGACCCGATCTGCTAGGTGGTCTCTGAGCATACCTACTGGATCAGGCCCATGGGCCAGATAGGCAGACAAAAGCTGGATCTGGGTTTCAGCCTCACCTCAGTAAAATAGGACAATAGCACTGCCCGACCTCCCACGGATGTTGTGAGGATCTATGTATTAAAGATTGTGAGGCACTCAGATGCTACAATGATGGAGGCCATATAAGTACCTTAGACAGATACATCCACTATACGCAGGTGTAAATAACCACACAAAGTGCTAGGCATTGGCAAACTGGGTCCCTCTATGCCTCAGCTTCTCAATTTGTCAAATCGGAGCATGCCTTTGAGATGTTCTGTACATCTTGCATTGTAGCTGTTGCAATATATAAGTAGGCATCTGACTGGAGTGTGTGTAGGGGCCCTTTTCTGAGGAAAATCAAGATGTTGTTTCTCAAAAAGAAAAGGAGTACTTGTGGCACCTTAGAGACTAACCAATTTATTTGAGCATACACTTTCGTGAGCTTCAGCTCACTTCATCGGATGCCACGAAAGCTTATGCTCAAATAAATTGGTTAGTCTCTAAGGTGCCACAAGTCCTCCTTTTCTTTTTGTGGATACAGGCTAACACGGCTGCTACTCTGAAACCTGATGTTGTCTCTGTGTGTAACATGCTGTCAGTGCAGAACCTTTACAAAAAGCAGGGCTGCTTTGCTGGATTTTACGGACTGCTGTGTGTCCTGATATGGCCACTGCACTTCAAGCCATTCCTTTTAGCTTCTAATGCAACAGGCTTCCGGTTCCATTGTTTTGAGTCATTAATATTAGAAGTACCATCCATGAAGAAGCAAAAAAGTGATTTTTGCAAAACTTTCTGTATAACTGAAGGCAGCAATTCCAGGTTACTTGCACACTTAGCAAAACTGACTGTACTTATTTGTTGACTAGAGAAAATGCCTCTGGCTTCCTGGAAGAACTCGACTTCTTGCCTTCAAACGTAAGAACTGCTCCTTTTCCCCCCCACCCCTCCATGCAGTGAAGACATGGCTACAATGGCTTATCTTCCCCCTTCACTTCCACGTGCTGCTAAATGCGGGTTCTATTACAATCCATGCCAAGAAAAAATGGGTTGGATCCTGTGCAGTGCTCTGTGCCCTCAGTTCCCATCAAAATCAAGAGGGGTTGCAGTTGCTTCGCACCTCTCAGGCACTATCTATAGGGAAAACTAGCCTTTCCATAGATTTTTTTGAACTGCCCTATAGAATATGGTGGTGAATTCTATCCCTGCTAATAGAATTCTATAAAATGTTTTTTAATAAAAAATAGAGAATGTCACCCTATTAAAGTTTATAGATTTGGAGTCACTTTTTTTTATAAAACCGTATCAAATTGCCACAGAACATTGTCTTTTTTTCATCCCAAGTACATTCTATAGAATTTTTCTATAAGGGTGGCTTTCATACACTTTCTGAATACAAAATAGTTAATACAGGAAAGAAAAGAATGTTTTCATTTGACAGGGTACTTCAGTTCAAAATATTTTCCACTGACCTCACTTTGTTTGTTGCTCTGAAGGGGCAGAGGTGGAGTTTCTTACCAGCACAGATATTTTTATGACCTCCGTTATGTGCTTTTTTAGATCTGCCCTTGAAATTACTCCTATTAACTGTGGCTGGATTGACTTTGAGCATTTGAGCAATTTCTTCTGGACTGACCCAAGGTAATTGTCTATGGAACTGTGTGTGATCCTTGTTTATTTTTTTATTACTATTTATTTTTATTCCATTTTAAACTATTTTTCCAAACCATGTTGTAATCCAGATTGGTTTACAAACGAGAGGGAAGTGAGGGTGGAGTGAGAAAATATTTGGCACATGGCATAGAGTTAAGTAGAGGCTGCAGCTTTTAGGGTTTTCTTAACACAGCTTTGAAGCCTGCCAATTGTTACTAAGATATAAAATGATAAAACACATACTCCAAAATGACAGCCCCAAGCCTGGTCTGTACTTAAAATTTAGGTCAACATAGCTATGGCACTGTGACAGAATACACCCTGTATTCACACCTACACACTATTGTAATAATCTTTGTACAAAGTACTCCTTGTAAGGTATCATTGGAAAACTCATAATTTGCTGGTCAGTATTGTCCTGGTAAAATGTGTGGCAACGCTGTATGTGAAGATATAAGATTCCCCTGTACAATGTCGTTAACACATGTTCCAAACCCCACAGCCCTGTCCAGACGGAAGTCAGGTCTGTCCTAAACAAAGGAAGGAATGTGTGCTTGCCTTAATTTGAAGGAATAACAGGCAATATATTTGTACCCTCCAGGAGAGGGCTGGGCAATACAGGACATACATTTCTGGGGGAAGATCCGGGACGGGGGCGGTGTTGGTGTCACCCTCCAGTATAACCCAGGCTGGTGAGAGCCAGAGTGTAGCTGCAACCTGCAGTTACACACAGACACTCAGGGTGTGGCTTGTACCCTGGAAGGCAGTTTGTGATGCCCCAGATGGGAGTTACTACAGCAAGGGATTGTAAGGCACCCAAGGTTGCAGGACAGGAGTGACACAGCCCCCCACTAGTCTGGATTGTGCCCTGGTATGTTGTAGTTAAGGCTAAGATTTTGTTACGCATATTTTTCGTAAAAGTCACAGACAGGTTTCTTTATTGCCTGTGACCTGTGGGTGAGTTTTACTAAAAATATGCATGACAAAATGGGGAGCTGCAGGCTCTCCACACTACCTAGGGGTGCCTAGCTCAGAGCTGAAGGGTCCCCACACCACCAGTGGCTCCAAGCTCAGGCCACGCCCACCACCTGCAGTGGCTCTGGCTCAGAGGTCCTGGGCACTCCTGGCTGGCCGCGACACTCCGTGTTCCTGGGCACCCCTGCCAGCTGTAATGGCTCCATGCTCTGGGGCACCCCTGCTGGCCATGGGGCCAGGAGCTGCACAGCACCCCCCCGCCCCCCGCTGCCCGTGGTGGCCGGGAGCTCCCAGCTCCAATGTTAGGACACACCCTTTTCCCTCATTAAGATTAAAATGCAGTAAGATTGTGTGATGTTAACTGATTAAAACATGACCATATAGAGCATTGTTGCAACCACTGTTATATATTTGCAGCAAATCTTGTACAAAGGTTGCCAAGTGAGGTGTCTATGAATAGGTTATGATTTGCTGGTTATGATTTTGCTATCTGTACACATGTATCATTTTTTTATTCAAAGTTATGCATATTGGCTCTATATCTGGATTTCAAATGTTTGCTCCTGGAGTACTGTCCACAAGACAGCTAGCCGCACATCTTGGAGGGACTATTTAAATTAAGTGGCTCATCAAGAAACACTGGCCCATCCAGAATGCCCATCTACCCTGAATGGACTATATGTAAATGTGCTGTGTGGAGTGTAGGTAATGGCTTCCTCCAATGACTGAGCGGAATTGGGCATGCCCATGTGACTCCAAACACCATCTTGTGGCTGTAATTTTCCACAGTAAGAACAATGGGTTTCCCGCCACATGGCAAAAGCTATAAAAGGCCCTGGGAAGACCTCCATTTTGTCTTCAATCTGGCTTCTTGCCTCTGGAGGAACATTGCTACAAACTGAAACTCTGAACAAAGGACTGAATGACCCATCCAAGCTGTAGATGTACTCCAGAGACTTGACGTAAGCCAGCAGTTTATTCCATCACTGCGGCAAGCCTGAAGCAAGAACTTTGCCATTACTGTATGTATTTGATTCTTTTAACGAACTTTAACTCTCACCTTTCTTTCTTTCTTTTCTTTTTTTTTTTTTCATAAATAAACCTTTTAGATTTTAGATACTGAAGGACTGGCATCAGCGTGATTTTTGGGTAAGATCTAAGTTATATATTGACCTGGGTGTGTGGCTGGTCCTTTGGGATCAGAAGAACCTTTCATGGTGTAAAGAACCACTCATCTCTGAATCCAGTGTTTTTGGTGGTGATATAAGAACTGGAATGCCTGAGGAAACTGCCTTTATGTCTTCTTATTAGCCAGTGTGGTGAAACAGGAGTTTACTTTTGTTGAAGGTTTGGTATATCCTGTGGGGGATTAGCCACCAGTCTTGGGGTGTATTTGCCCTGTTTCTCAGCAGTTTGTCCTGAATTTGGCACCCACTGAGGCACGGTTACAGATTGAAATACCAACATGTCCTTTAACTCTGGGTCTGAATGTTGCCTACATGTCTGAAAAATGACTAGTGATCTGGGGTGCCTTGATTTTTGGATATCCAACTGAACACCTTAAAGGGCCTGATTTTTCAGAGGATGGGTGCTCAGCTCTTTCAGAAATCAGGCCATTCTAAGGTATGAAGTTGGGCACCCAAAATCACTAGTAACTCTTCAAAATCTAGGCCATTTCACTTTAATAAATGACAGAAATATGTGAGGTTTGCCATCCTGATGAGTTCTGAGTGAAGTGTCAAACAGCCTCCCCATATATAATCCTAAAAATTAACACAGCCCTAAAATTAAGTTGTAAATACTTGGCTCGGATTTTAAATCGCCGATTGTTTTTAATTGCTGACAGAAAAATCCAATATGCTCATCAGCTGGCAGGTGACGTGAAATGTTTGCTATAGAAGGGCATCTCCAGAAATCTTGCTTTCATTCAGCATTCTAGACAATTAAGATCACCATCAAATACTTCAAACCTCAACTCTTTTCATTTAGGAGTTTGCACTGTTGACATTGACTCCTGCTTTCTAGTACAACTATGAAAGTAGCTCTTAAGTAGGACTTCAGCAAACAATCCCAGCAGAAATGTTCAGAATGTGCCTAAATAGCTCTGTATTGTGATGAACCATACAGTCCATGTATAACTTTAATACAGGCTGTAACTAAGATCAGGAGTTATGTATTGTAATGACCACAGTTAAAAGTATACAATATGTTAGAGATAGAGCTGGAAAACATGGCAATATTTTAAATGTATTCTTAAACAAATGTCACTAAAAGATTTTTCAGGTATTTTTCAGTTATTGTTTTTCAGATTTCAGGTTTTTAAATCAGTTAAAATACTACAAGAGCAATTTCTGAGGTTCTGGGATTTAAAAAACCAGCCAACTGTATTTTTAGAATTAAAAGTTTCAAGTTTATGTAATTTCAGGTTAATAATCTGTAGAAGTTAGTAACTGTGAGGGAGGGATAGCTCAGTGGTTTGAGCATTGGCCTCCTAAACCCAGGGCTGTGAGTTCAATCCCTGATGGGGCAAAAATTGGGGATTGGTCCTGCTTTGAGCTGGGGGGGTTAGACTAGATGACCTCCTGAGGTCCCTTCTGAACCTGATATTCTATGAACTTCTCAAAGGAGCTTGAAAAAAAAAATCACACCACATTTCTCACTCAAGTGAGTTGACAGTTGTATCTTTAATGCCTGCTCCATGTTGCTGTGTTCAGGGTCTACGTTAAATATTTACAAACCATGTGGGAGTGAAGACAGCCACCAGACAGTGTAGATGCTAAGCAGAACCTTTGCAGAGGTAGCAAATACCCTGTCTGTGAAGGCATAGCAGGGCTGGCTCACTCCTGCCTCTGCTCAAGTCCACAAACAGCTCATCCGTTAGGCAAAGCTCTTCTTAATGAGGTCTGCTCTGGAGTAATTAATTAGAGCTGCAGTGACAAGAGGGCTGGCTCAGCTGCTGTTGCCCAGCCCCCACAAAGTCTCGAGATCTCCTTGTCAATCTCCTCCTGGTGCTGGCCAAATTTGGCCATCTATAACAACAGGAGGAGGATGCTGGACAGGGAAGTGCTCTGCAACAGTGGGGACTACCCCTGTTCCTCCCTTCGATCATGTGACCAAAGTTCCTCTGCACTGCATCTGCTGGCTCCCTGGACACCTTTGAGGAGCAGTGGGTGCTGTCTGGGGCACTCTACTCAGTAGCCCCCTCCGGTTCCCTGCTTATGGCCCAATGACCTCATTCCTGTCCCTGTTTTCTTATTAATTGTCCCCCAAAATAATTTGAGCCCCGGGTTTAGTCGATCCTCCCCTTAGGCTGGGAGAGGGGCCTTCAGAGGTGGGCAGGTTTGTGGCTGCCCACCTCCAGTACTCAATAAAAGCTGTTGCCCAGCACTCTGTCACAGAAGGGCTTTTATATTAGCAACTGGACGACAGCCACTATTGAAGATTCTAGCCATTGGCTTTTCGATGAACCCACAGTAGTATATCATCATCATCATCAAACAGCCTGAGTAAGGTGACAGCCGACCATGTGGTGAAATTATAAAAATGTCCCCTGGATTCTCAGATTTAATGATGAAAACGCATCGTTTAGTCCTATTGTTCTAACAACAGTAGAGTTACCTATTGGTCAGTTTTCTTGTTCTTGTTGCCTTCTGTTCGCTGACGATGAAGTCAGACTAAGGAGGGGGCTGACGTTCCTTGGGTGTGGGGTAGCTGCTCAGTGGGACGGAGCCCTCAGGTGCACCTTGCAGTTCCTTGCTGATAGCCTGAGTGGTGGAAAAGCTATAAAAGGGGTCAGGACAAACTTCTGGCACCCTGTGTTTCCAGTCCATGGTGGACATTACCTTGTAAGTGAGAGCCGTGCAGCTCAGGGAGGCAAACATGCCCTGACCTGCCCAAGGAGCAGGGCAGTGCAAAAGAGAGCTTTAAGCCTCGTATTCTGTCAGCCTGGTTCTCCACTCATTTACACCAGTCTTTCACTGGTTGTAACTCCACTGACATCAAAGGATTTACCCCAACATAAAATTGGTTTAGACATATGGAGAATTGTGTATTTTGGCCATACCCAAGGACCTAGCGCAGGACTCATCAGCACTGCTTCTGCTAAACTGCATGCTGGGGTTTCTTATTTGAGAGCTTGCTTGTTTACCCAAATGGGGCCTGACTGTCCTCTCAATGACACAAGTTTTTGCCTCCATTTATTTCAATGCAGCTACTTCTTGTTTATGGTATGGGGGACTCTCAGGGCCAGAAGATATTTATACAGGATCCTACATGCTGCCAACCTTCTCCAGAATGGTATGAGTGGAGAGGCTGTGCAACAAGGGGTTGTCACACTCTGGTCTACTTGCCAGGAAGGGTGCTCTACACCAGCTCCAAATAAGGCAGCCCGGAATACAGATTTGGGATGGGGCTACTGGGGTGCACACTCACAGGAATTCAGCAGCTGGGAACCACTGTGCATGAGGAAAGGAAGGGTGGTAGTGGAAAGGCTGATAGCCCCTGACCTGCTCCTGGCCAGGGTATAAATTCCATCTTCACCAGCCCTTGTGGAGTTCGACACGCAACCTATAATTGGGGCTTTGTGTAATGGGGGGGGAGGGAGGAAATTTCACCTTTATTTCCCAAGCATTGAGTTAAAAATGTACTTCATTTTTTTCTTGCGAACACTGTCCTGTTTGCTGTGAGGAGAATATGGTACTCTGCTGAAGAGCACTAAAGTCTCTAAAAAACTGAGCTGTTTTCCCAACAGATGATTATAAGTTGTCCTTGAAAATATTAATAAGAATACAAACATTTACAAATCTTCTCTTTGCATTACAAAGCTCTGACACCGCTCCCTGACACATCAAATGCTACACCCTATACCAAATACAGAAGTTAAACAGCAGTGCTCTTGTTGTCATTTGCCTTCAGTGCCTCGTCACTCTGCATAATCCTTGTGTCAATTTACTCTTCGTGATGTTTAGGACCAAACCAAATGATTCTTTCAGCACATTTAAAACAATCCCTTCAAGACTTTTTTTCTCCCCTTGGCTGTGTTTTCAATCTTGGCTTATCACTGTAATATTTCGTGCTTTATGCATCTGAAAAAAAATTCAATATTTGAGAACAAAGTAAGCCAGAGCTTTCCTTCATTCCAGTCTTTTATGTCCTAGGGCTGTCCCAACTCAATGACCCAGTTTTTATTGTGTCACATTTCACTGTTGCTGGCTGCTACCAGCTTGGATAATCCCTTCCCTGCCTCCTTATCAGTAGTTTTTTGTAATTCATTTTTTCTATTTTGTCCATTCCACCCTCAAAGCTTTTAATTTTTCCCCTGTAGGAAAGTCACTACTGCCCTTTATGCTCACTCACTCTAAGAACTGGTCAGAAACAAAAAGCCAGTTGTGTAGTTAATGGCTGCAGTCTGTTTTAGGAGCATTGCATTTTCTTCAGAGGTAGGGAAGAAATTCAACATTCTCCAGAGCTGACTCCTGAAAGATCATCCCTATTGATAAAGGTGGGGAAAGGGAAAGGAACCTGCATGCCCTTGAACTGATTGTGATGAGTGAACCTGTATCTTTCAAGGCTTCCCCACACACACAGGCCTGATCTGCCCAGGTAAATTGTCCTATCCCTGATGTCTATGGAATACAATGAATGAACAAAAGAATACAAATCATCTGTGTGGAGGGTAAAAGAGGGAAAAGGACTGAAGCATTCGCATAAGTTTTTCGGCCTGACATCTAGAAATGGTGTATTTCAGTATCTGAAATGTAGAACTTCAGCATGGCAGCAATAGTATGATACTGTCAGAGCCCCATTACATTTCACAATTCTGCAGGCATGGAATTTATTGCAAAATTTATCCCGTGCCAGAGAATTGTGCTCCAGGATCTCAGCTTTCACTAAAAAATGTTTTTAGTCTTTATGATTGCTGGTAACCTTGAAAAGCTGAACAGTGCAAAACCATGCAGTGATATTTTTCTGAGTCTGCACAGAGTCTATGAACAGGTGTGAACTGCTCCAGCCATGAATCTTAATGGAGTTTTAATTCTGAGTTCTCAAGCTGACAATCAATGCCATCTTGAAAATTGAAACAGGATGGAGATCTCAAAATGATGTAAAATAAGCCCCCACAGGAGTACACTGCTGTTTGATACAATTTATTTTCATATTTAATTCAATAACTTTACATTTAAAAAATCTGAAGCTGCTGCATACATTTTGGTTCAGCTTGCCATGGAGTATATAGTGTCTAGATTGTAATGAAGGATGGGATAGGAGCCAGTCTACCAAGATGATAGATGAGAGAACTAGTTTGTATATAATAACTGATCAAAACTTGAGCCAAACCTTTTCTGAGATGCTGTATAGCTTTGGGATTTCTAATTTTTTTTAACGCACATCTGCATTTACCAGTCCCAGGAGGATACAGAAATATCAGAAAGATTCAAATGCATCCAGGACTTCAGGTACTTCTACAACCAAACCTTTCAAAGTTTGCTCATCCCAACATTGAAGGTGTCTGCCCGACAGAATTAACTTGAGTGATCTATCCTCAAGTGTCTTCCCTTGTGTTAGCCCATCACAAGGGAGTCCTACAGAACAACTGGTGTAGGGTGTGGAATCATGCTCTGAATCCATGCTGGTGCTCTATTCAGTTGTGTGTGGACTGAAGATTTCAGGGGGCACAACCTAAGGTTCATAGTGCTTCAGTAAACGGTGCGGTTCTAAGAGTGCTTTCACAGTATGCAGTGGGAGAACTTGCCTGTCCCATTCCCACACAGGATCCCCAGAATGTATGAGCCCAGTGACTCATTAAAACAAACCAGTTCTGACCTGGCACGCCCCCAGTTTCTGTCCACAGCCTTCGTTCCAACCAATGGCAAGGCATGGACCCAACTCAGAGCAATGCCCCATACCTAATGTTGGGTACTAATGCGACTCTCATTTTGGTAAGAAGAAGAAGAACCAGGGCAAGAGACGCAATTGCCGGCATTTTGGCAGTGGTTCATTGCCATGACAAAGTTGTGATGTGCTCTTTTTAAAAAAAAATAGCTAGTTATTTATTTAGTGTTCACAGGTTTCCAAATCATTGCAGGTTGCCCCGCCGTCCAGCTAAAACGGCACATGGCATTGCCCTATTACCATTTCCACAGAGGTTGGTATTGTCCTTTCTGTTATTTCTTTATCTAGAATTTCATTAGGGTGTTTTTACTGATTTTTTTTAAATTGGTGGAACAGTGAGTTGCTCAGGAAACCCTTAAAGTTTTTGAACCAATAACTTATTTTTATTTCCTTTTTCATAAAATATCTGCTCATATACCTAATAGCTTTTTTCAGTGGCACCTGTCATCACCATAGCCAATTCTTCCCTAATTAGTTAATTATTTGTATAATTTTTTGAACCCATGTTTTTATGAATGTGTTGTAACACTTTATCTCCTGTTCTAGTTTTAATCTTTCTTTTCTTTTCTTTTCTTTTCTCTTTGTATAACAGCTATGGCATTTGGTGGCAGATGACAGAACAAGAAGCAATGGTCTCAAGTTGCAGGGCGGGAGGTCCAGGTTGGATATTAGGAGAAACTATTTCACTAGGAGGGTGGTGAAGCACTGGAATGGATTACGTAGGGAGGTGGTGGAATCTCCATCCTTCGAGGTTTTTAAGGCCCGGCTTGACAAAGCCCTGGCTGGGATGATTTAGTTGGGATTGGCCCTGCTTTGAGCAGGGGGTTGGCCTAGATAACCTCCTGAGGTCTCTTCCAACCCTAATCTTCTATGATTCTATGATGCTTTGTTTATAAACTTGTCCCTAACTACTGCTCTACCTTCCTCCCATAGAAGACCTATATTGTCTGCAAAATTTATTTGAAAGTGTTTAACAATGTCGTCTTTTATTGCTGCAATCCACTCTTGGTCCTATAGAAACATTTTCCAAAAAACTGATCTTTGGCACCCATCCCAACTATCCATTCTTCTTCTAGTGATGGTCCCTATTGTAATCCACTGTGGGTTACGCAAGCGCACACCATGCATGCGGAATAGCATCCATTGGTCTGCACATGAACGGAAGCATGATGCGAGATAGGGTGCAAGGTGATAAATGGCAGGGCTGGACGACTACATCTTCAGTTCCTTCTCACCGCCGTATGGTCTGTATCAGAGCTCTGTGTCCTGGTCTCTGATGCGCTTCTGGACATGACAGTTGTACATAGTTTTAAAACAGTTTTTATAGTAGATTATAAGATTTAGTTCTTTCTAGTGTTAAAAGTTTTAAATAGTAGCTAGCGCCAGTTGTTTTAGATAGACTAGGGTTTTTCACTCCTCCCTACCCCCATACCCACATGCAGTACTGGACTATGCCCAGGACTCCGGGCTTCAAACTTTGTGCCTCCTGCCTGTGATCCTTCTTGGGCAGCGATGACCACCAATGCTGCCTGCACTGCCTGGGAGAAGCTCACATCACGGCATGGTGCAATATTTGTCCATCCTTCCCCAGCCACACCCGAAAAGGCCGGGCACTTTGCCTCTGGAAACATCTCATGGAGCTAGCCATGAGACTGCACTCGGACCCAGGCCAGGGAACCCTCCCTGCACATCAGCCTGATTCGGGGAGGAGTGCACCTCCCACTACATCCAAGTCTGGTGCCAGTGGAATCACCCCTAGGGTGGGGCCTAGTCTAGAGATAAGGAAGTACTCCCATAAGCATGGGGCTAAGTCTTCCTCCAAATCAAAAAGAAGATGGAAGTTCCTTCCACCAGCTCAGCTCAAGGGAACGGAGTACAGTCTAAGTCCCAAAGGCACTAGAAAAAGACCCCAAAACAATGGGACCCAGTGATTCTGGGTGCCAATCTATCGGTACCACCATCCCCAGCACCCCACAAGGCTCAGGACCCTCTCGCGCTGGGAAAGACCCAAGCACCTGGTTGCAATGACTGGGAAGGAAAGAGTGTCTCTCACACCAGGAATATCCAGAACCATAGCTGTTCCCCAGGAGGTCTTTGCCTTCCTGGATCTGGAGTTACCTCCCCCCCTCCATATCGGGCCCTTCCACATCTAGAGAGATTAAATCTCCACCAAGCGACATGCCCTCAGTTTGGGGCCCCTCACCCGCTGCATCGATGGTCTACACTCTTCCACCAGCTCTGACGATACCACCATTAGAAATGGGATCCATCTTCTCCTCCTCTGATGACTCAGAACCAGGAGAAGAACAACCTTTAGCTTACCATCCTTATGCACCACAGAAACCACCTCATCCATGGCAACACTTACCACCCCAGCCACCACGGAGACGATGGTACCCTATGCCATGGGGAGCCCCACCACCTACATCGGATCTGACTTACTGGCCATATTGGGTACCCTGGGCACAATAGCCCCCCCCGGGACTGGCCCAATCCACAAGGGAACCATTACCTCCTTCCCCCTTGAGGGATCCTTCCACCAGGCATACAGACCTGATAGTGGAAGAACTTTTTAGCCTGGTTCCAGCACCTCTGCTGGAATCAGCAAGATTCCCCTCTTCCTCTCCTGATCACATGGTAGCTGCATCACCTCCTTGCCTGCCAGATGACTTCAGAGAATTCCAGGAGCTGTTCAGGATAGTTGTGAAGGAACTCCAAATCCCTTTAGAGGAGATTCAAGATTCCCAGCACAAGCTTCAGGATATCCTTCACATCTTGGTGCTGGCAAGAATAGCATTGCTGATTAACGAAGCCACACTGGAACCTTCCAGAATGGTATGGCACCGGCCACATGCAGAGCTACCTCCAAAGGAGCAGAAAAATGCTACTACATTCCAGCCAAAGGCTCTGAATTTCTTTTTTCACATCCATGTCCAAATTCCCTTGTAGCCCAGGCTGCTGCAGAAAGATCTAAACAACAGCACCCTCAATTTACTTCAGCAGACAAAGTAGGGAAGTGCTTAGATCTTCTGGGTCTTAAAGTATGCTCATTTTCCAGCCTGCAATTTAGGATCACGAACTAGCCATGTTTGGCTAACAAAGCCTATTTCCTGAATTACACCAAATTCAAAGAGTTTGCTGATAGACTTCCACAACAAGATCACGCTTGTTTTCCAGCACTTGTTAAAGAAGGGAAGCTCGTGGCCAGAACTACCCTTCAATCTGTGGTAGATGCAATGGACGATAATCATGTGTAGAGAGCCCTATGTCCACTCTTCTGGATTTCCTAAGGAGGTCCAAAACACCATTGAAGACCTCCCTTTTGACAAATCCATCATCAGAACCTTCCCACCTGTTGCATCCCAATGGGACCTGACTCTAGTTCTCTCTATGCCAGTGAAGCCACCCTTTGACCAATTAGCTTCATGCTCTATGTCCCTCCATTCCACGAAAGTCGCCTTCCTGCTTGCAATTACTTCCATGAGACAGGTTGGTGAACTCAGAGCTAAATGATGGCGGACCCGTCTTTCATGGTGTTCCACAAAGATAAAGTCTCCCTACATCTACACCACAAATTTTTACCAGAGGTGGTCTCCCAGTTTCACATCAATCAAGCCATCCACTTACCAGTTTGGCTTCTGCCACATGCTTCTGAACAGGAACATGGACTCCATTCCCTCAATGTACGGTGAGCTCTGGCCTTCTACCTGCAGAGAATGAAACCAATCAGGAAGTCTCCTCGACTATTTGTTGCAGTAGCAGCGAGACTCTGGACAAGACATTTCCTCTCAGAGAATCACCAAAAGGATTTCCGGTTGCATTAAACTCTGCTACCAACTGTGAGCTCACTTACAGGGCTCACTCCACGAGAAGGCTCAGGCTTCAACCACAGCCTCCCTTCAAGATGTTCCGCTTGTAGACATATGTAGAGCAGCCACATGGTGTTCAGTACACACCTTTGCAGAGCAGTACATCTTAGTGCAGGACTCTGCAGAAGATGCCTCCTTCAGCATGGTAGTTCTCCACACGATCATTCCATTTTCATCCTCACACCCTCCTCCAACTTAGGTACTGCTTGTCAACCACCCTCAGTGGAATACAATAGGGACCTTCACTCAAAGAAGAGGTTACTTACCTGTAACTGGAGGTTCTTCAGACTGTGTGGTCCCTATTTGTATTCTACTTCCCACCCACCTTCCCCTCTACTGCAGATTGGTCAATTCATGGTAGAAAAGGAACTGAAGATACAGTCGGTCTGCCCTGCCCTTTATCACCTTGGACAGAAGCATGAGGCAAGCCAGGGCACATGCATGGACCCACAGACACTACCTTTCAAAATCTCCGACTCTCGATGCATGGTGTGCATGTGTAACCCTCAGTGGAATACAGTAGGGACCACACCTCTTGAAGAACCTGCAGTTACAGGTAAGTAACCTTCTCTTATTACTTCCAATGGGGCAAGAACTGACTGTTTGCCAATTTCTGCAAATTTTGCTGCTACATTAAGGATTTAGAGATTAATATTAAATCTATTCTAGTCTAGTTGATGAGGGTATGAATACACGTGTAATCTCATTCCACTGGATATAATTCCCTCCAGAAATCTGAGAGATTGACTTGTTGGTATAGAAACATTAATGCTGCACCTGTTTCCTTCTTTTGTCTTTTTATCAGCTCTGTCCCAGTGAAGAATAGGTGTACAGCTGAAGTCTCCTTCAAGTATAATTTCCCCTTCCCCAAAGTGTTGGAATATTTTAAAGAAATTATTTTCAAAAGTTTTTTTTTTTTTTTTGCTTTTGACTGGGAGCATATGACAAGCCCATTGTTATGAATAACCCAGCAGCTATGCTCCATCTTTAAATTGATCTTTAATCTGAAGAGGTATGTGTTCAGCAAATTTTATGCCCACTCCTCTTTTCTTTGGCTGAAGCAAAAAATGTCTACTGAAGCCAACTACTTTCATGCCCAGAATTTGCCCCTGTGGAAAATTTAGTTTCTTGAAGTAAAATTATCTGAGAATGTGGGAGGCTGAGTTCTGGCTGGGTGTTTTTCCTTTTAATGACATTATTTAGAACTTTGACATTTAAAGCTGTTGCATTAAAGGGAAGAGCCATTGAGAATAACTACTTAGCTTATTGAAAATCTGAAAGTTGTGTGTGTGAGTCACTGGCTGTTTGATGGCATATGAATCCTTTAGTGTGGCACACATCTCCCAGTTCTAATTCTATTGTATTCACCATTGCATGCCTGAATATGGCTTGGTTTCTTATATTGATTCAGCTTCACTTCCCTCCCTTCTACTATCTTACCCTTACTTTAAATCATAAAATAAAATACCAAAATAGCATATAAATCAGTCCCTGCACAACTGCTGACTGAAGGAGCAGAGTTAATGGTTTCTGAAAAGCCCCATACAACTGAAGATGATGGTTTCAGTCATGGAGCGGGAATTGGAGAATAGAGAGTGAAGTGAATCCAGAACAAAAACAGAAGAAAGCCTGGCAGGGTCTGGAGTGAGGAGATAAAAGGGATAGACATTGAGAGAGCACAACTGACAGAAATGAGGCACTGCTTAGAGAAATGTAAAAGACCAGAATGTGGGGAGTATGTTACTTAATAGTGGGTTTGATACATGAAGGGGGGGAGTAGCTCCCTTTGATGGACACCCGGCCACCCAGTTAGCTGTAAAATCCCTCTTGGTATCTGTTCTCTGCTTGCTTTACCAGTAAAGAGTTAACAAGCCCACAGGTAAAAGAACAGGAGTGGGCACCTGACCAAAAGAGCCAGTGGGAAGGTAGAACTTTTTAAAATTGGGAAAGACACTTTCCCTTTGTCTGTTGCTCTCTGGGCTGAAGAAACGGGGCAGCAGGAATGCTGTGTAAAGTTAAAAGAGATATGAAAATAATCAGGATATCTAGAACTACTTTTAACAACCCAACGGTGTAAAGAGATCAGAATGTTCAGCTCGACGTGATCAGGTTTATTTCTGTTTATTTTTTAAGGCTTGTGGAACTCCTCTGTGCTAACCCCAGATGCTTTTCCTTGCTTGTAACCTTTAAGCTGAACCCCCAAGAAAGCTATTTTGGATGCTTACCTTTTGGAATTGCTCTTTTAAAAGCTAGCAAAAGCCTAAGTTCCAAAAGTATTTTGTCCTTTTTGTTTTTAATAAAATTTACCTTTTTTAAGAACAGGATTGGATTATTGGTGTCCTAAGAGGTTTGTGCATGTTGTTTGATTAGCTGGTAGCCACAGTTAATTTTCTGTGTTTCTTTCTCAGCTCTTCCCCAGCAGGGATGGGGAAAGGGCTTGAGCGTACCCCATATGGAGGAATTCCCAACTGCTCCTTCCTGGGTTAAAAGGGGTTTTTTTTGCATTTGGGTGGTGGCAGCGTTTACCAAGCCAAGGTCAGAGAGAAGCTGTAACCTTGGGAGTGTAATACAAGCCTGAAGTGGCCAGTATTAATTTTTTAGAATCCTTGCGAGACCTCACTTTCTGCATTCGGAGTGACAGAGTGGGGATTTAGCCTCGACAGTGGGTGATTTTGAAAGTGTGTCCACTCTTCCTCCATCCCACAATGTAGGTCGGCTCCTCAGACTGGGGTTAGCGTTACAAATCGCAGAGCTCCCAGGGTGAAAGTTAGGGTTAGAAAAGGTAACGCTTGCAATGTTGGGGTTAGACCTGGGGATAGGATTCCAAAGAGTAGGACTGCTTGTCTAAGGGTTAGAGTTGGGATCGACGGGGCTCCCTGGCCTAGAGATAGGCTAGAGGTCAGCAGGGCTCCCTGGCCTAGGGTAAGGGTTGAAAAGAGCAGTGCTCCGGCCTAGGGTTAGCATTGGGGTCAGTAGGTCTCCCTGAGCGAAGGCTAAGGTTTCAAAGGATAAGGCTCCCAGCCTAGGATTAGGGTCACAAAAGGTACAGCTTCCCGGCTTATGCGTGGCATTCAGCCCATAGGGATTCCAGGACTAGGGTTAGGCTGGGGTCATTAGGACTCCCTGACGTAGGGTAAGCATTGGGGTTTGTAGGGCTCCCTGACCTAGGGTTACGGTTGCAGTCTGGAGGGCTCCCTCCCTGGTATTACTAGGACTCCCTGGCATAAAGTTAAGGTTACAAAAGTAAGGGCTTCTCGGCCTAGGGTTAACACTGGGGTCAGAAGGGCTCCCCAGCCCAGGGTTAGGGTGATGAAGGGTCGTGCTTACCTGGTTAGGGTTAAAAAGGGGAGGCTCATAGGTTATGGGCTTGATGATGAGTTTTGGTGGGCAGGAAGCACCCCTCTGCAGAACCCACTTAAGGAAAGTAAGGGAAGCATGAGGCAAGGCTGCCCTCACTTCATGGAGTATGAAACAGGGTGGATAGCCCCATGTGCTGGCTAATCTTGACAGCATCCACCCAACTACAATACCCACCTGCTGAAGTGAAGAAACAGATTTACAGAGCCAGAACAGTACCCAGAAGTTACCTATTACAGGACAGGCCCAACAAAGAAAATAACAGAACACCACTAGCCATCCCCTTCAGCCCCCAACTAAAACCTCTCCAACGCATCATCCATGATCTACAACCTATCCTGAAGGATGACCCATCACTCTCACAGATCTCCCCACTGTATTTTCCACTGAATGCATCCGATGAAGTGAGCTGTAGCTCATGAAAGCTTATGCTCAAATAAATTTGTTAGTCTCTAAGGTGCAACAAGTACTCCTTTTCTTTTTGCAGATACAGACTAACATGATTGCTACTCTGAAACCTGAAGAGAAACGATGGCCAAAAGGCAGGGTGCCACAGAGCAACCTCTGTCCACAAGGGGGCACTCTAGAGGTACAAGCATCTTAATGCCTTTGATGTTCTCCAGCACTGAGGTTCTGTTCATTGAATTCTACACCTGGCCAGTTTATTCAAAATGTCATCATGCATCTTGGCATTTCAATTCTTGTTCCCAAAATTGTGGACTCTGTAAGACCTGAGTCAGAGATTCATCAGTACCTTGGTTGCAGCTGTCAGCACTCTGAAAATGTGTCATCCTTGGCACCATTATCACAAAACAGGAGCTCTCTACCAGACGTGGTTGAGGGCAGTTGCTGATACTGGCCGCTGTGGGCGAATGTGGGGAATGAGGGCCAGGCAGACCTGTATGCAGCAGAAGGTGACTTTCAGTCAGGAAGCAGGGAACAAGTAGATAGCAAGACAAGACTACAGGACAGGGGACCCTAAGAGAATTGTAGGGAAGGCACTGGAGGACTAGCAGCTCTCACTTGTTATCACAGCACTAACCTAATCAATACTATTGAGAGGTTGTATTGGGGGCTAAGGAGGTAAGCTCACTCAAGGTCTGCTCTATATCCCCACTTGTACCAACCAATTTGTGTTACCATAACCACAAATAAGTTAGCGGGTTTTCTGTGTATGTGTAGAATAGAGTTAACAGAAACACCTGAGTTATACCTTGTGTTAACTCCTTAGTGAAGAGATAAACAAGAATCGATACTTCTGGTTGGCCTATTGGGGTCTTTTGTTCTGTTTTCCAGGCCTTATTTTAATTGCCTCTGAAAAGTTTCTCTTTGAGGTGACCTGGGCTCTGATCTCTAGCGGTTGATTTAAGCTCAGCTTTGTGCAGTAGTTACACAGTGGCAGGATGACAATTTGTGCTAATGCATACAGTTTAAAAGGTTTTTTATTTTAGAAAGGAATTCCCAGGACTATTGGGAAAAAAAAGGATTTTTCAAATGGTATAACTTCTAAATGCAAAACTCATGGGCAGGGCCTGAGTTCCTATGCTTAAAACTCACCTGTGTCTCCCTTACAGACTCTGAATGAAGGACCCCAATCTTAATACTTCTTCAGATACTTCAGGTAACTTCCTGCTTACAAATTCCTTCCAATTTGTCATATTTCTGCAAAATAAGTCAAAGCCAGACCTGGTGCAAGTTGGGGCAACCGCTGCTGCAAGTACTTGCTTCCATCAGGTTTGAATTTTAATAATAGATAACATTTAAATGAATATTTTGCAGAATCTAGTCACCCAACATCCCTCTCTCCTGCCCACCGAGGAAATCCTATTTTGATATGAGACAAGGCCACTATCCATTCCTCTGCACTGTAAGACTCTAATAGGCCTACAAAAATCCCATCCTTAACCATATAGCATCTTTCCTTCATAGTGCAATTAGATTCCCTATCCTCTTTACCCTTCTCCCTTTCATTAACCCTGTGTCCATGTATCAGCCCTGCTCTGCACCCATATGCAACTGCCTTTGCTCTGCTGATAGACAGAGGGATCCACAAGAAGAAATTAAATTAATTTAACTTTTGATCACCAAATATTGAGAAACAAACTTTTAGCCATTACCAGAATGGATAGTCCAGACATTAATACAGAGACCTGAAAATGAGACCAGGGTTATATACCTCGCTCTGACATAGATTTCCTGTATTCCCTTGAGCAGATCACATATCTAAATGTTTAAATGGCCTGTAATTTTGTGTGGCTCAATTATTGGGTGCTCCATTTTAGACAACTAGGCCCTAACTCTGAGGTGCTGGGTACCCAAAACTTCAGCTGAACCAAATGGTGTTTTCTTGAATTAACAGTTTCTCTGACTGGAGCTCCCAATAACGGAGTCATCCAAAGGTAAAGGTCGCTTTTGAAACTTTGTCCTTGAAGCTTTTTAAGTTCTTGTAGCATGACCATCACTGTAGTTTCTGTATCCCTTTCTGTGTCTGTTTCTGCATACTTCCTTATCTTACTGGGCTAGTGTGAGGCTAAACTCGTTTGTACAGTGTACTCAGATCTGTAGACAGAAGAGGCTATATAGTGTGAAATTTTATTAAAATGAATAAAATATGAATTTATTGTAAACAAAATATCCTTGTGCAAAATCATGAACAGTAAAAATCTTCTGTACACAATTTAAAAAAATTAAAGTTTGCTTAAGTATAAAACCTACCAACTCCACGCTGCAGGCATTTCATCCAATGAATAACTGTATACAAATGAAATCAACTGTATAACTGGCAGAGCTAATAATGCCAATGTGATGTTGCAGCAAAGTTCAGATCTCTCATCTTTAATGTTGGCTGTGGCAGAACAACTACTTTTAGGGTCTCTGACAAATAGGAAGGTTGAGAATGAGCCAAAGAAATGGGAACAATGGGACTATAGCAGCAAGAGACGTTCATCCTGAGGCTCTATCCTAGTAACCTGTCAGGCCCTGAGTGCAGACTCCCAATCAATATTTGATGGAGGAGCCTCCTCAAAATTTTGTCCCACCCGCCATGGAGCCTGCACCCTCTTCTTTTCCCAGGCTAGATAATCAGATCTGGGATGATCATCCAGCTGGTCAAATTCTTTAAGGCTGAAATGAACTGCTAGCTGGTTCACCATTCTTTTCAAGGCAAGAAAAGCCGCAATGACCTGGAAGGTGAGGAAGAGGGCAAAAATGATGTGGACTGCTCGCTCTAGTGGCTGGATCTTCAGACCATCATTAAAGAGCAAGAAGAGGATTATGGGCAACTGCAGGAGGAGACTTAGGAGCCAAAAGCCAGCCAGTTCTGGGACCTACAACAGAAAGACATCACGTCTAATATCAACTGTTATTAAAGCATGGCAACTGAACAATGCAAGCAATGTGTACACAGTTGGAGTACATACCAAAAACATGTATCCTGTAAAAAATCCATTCTCCCTCTTCCCAAAGCCTGCGTATGCTATGGAATTGCTAAGAAATAGGCCTGGTTGAAAGTGTTTTGTCTAAACTATTTTTCAATGAAAAATTGGGGTTTTTGACTAAACAAAATTATTTGCCAAAAACCATCTCCTTTCTGTGGAAAATGTCTATCTTTCATCAAAATAATAATGCCCCAAATGTGAAAATTTTAATTGATTATACCACTGCTGTGTCTCATGGGAATTGTAGTTGAATTGCCTCACGCACCCATTCTTATGGGCTTGGCTCCTAGCTGAACTTCATCTTCCATGATGCAATGTGGCTGTGCAACTCCCATGATGCACCAGCTCCCTTAAACAAGAGAGGAGACAGTGATGTATCACATATGATACAGTCTAAGCACTGAGCAAAGCTGATCAAGAATAAGAGGAGCATGTGGTATGTGAAACAGAACTCCCCTGATGTGCTGTGGAAGCATTTTAGAATTGAAGTATTTCAGTTTAAAATTTTTGCTGAAAAGTCAACATTTCCAGCAGGGGAAACCCCATTTTCCAGCCGGGGAAACCCCATTTTCCAGCCAGCTCTACTATGAAACAAAGAGATAACATAAATGTCTAGCCAACAACTACTCTGAAATCAGCTTACTATTTCGATTTTTCTTTCAACTAAATCCAGGGCTTCAGGGAGTTAAATTCACTGGACGATCATTGGCTTCCCTGGTGTTCCCATCACCTTCTAAAATCTCTGCAGAGAAGTCCTAGCCCTACTGCTGCACCTTGTGAGCCCAAAACATCCTGGTAACAGCAGAAGCAGAGTGAAATGTGGTCACTGGCCTCCCCACTGTTCCTGCCATAACTGCCAGTCAAGTGTGATCCTCTTTACTCCCCTACCCCACCCCAAAGTGACAGGGAAAAGTGGACACATGGCTGCATCTGTGGCAATGAAGTCTATAGGATGTTCAGCAGCTCAGGTGACGTGAAGTAGCAGAGTAAAGCTAGTGGGGATAGTTTGATTCTCATCAGTTTCCCTCTATCAGTATCATTAAGGTAGTGCTATAGACTGGAGCAGGAAGCATGGTCTTCCAAGGGCAAGGTACAAGGAGAATTAAATTATCAGAGCAATAAGCCAGGACAGAAGGAAACAACAAATAGAGAGGCAGAAAAAGGAGACTTGCACTGAAAGTTTAGTGTCAGTACGTATCAGTATGGAACAGAGCCTGGTCCCTTGCTCCCTGGATCAGCCAGCTCTAGGAGCATCACATGCTACACTACTCTATCCTACAATACTTCTAAGCAGACCCACCATATGAAGGAAGAATTCCAGAGAGCTGCATGAAGCTGAAGAGGATGGTTTCAGTGACGTGAGGTCGCTGGAGCAGGAATCAAAGAAAAGAGAGAGGGAAAATGAGGTTGGTATCCCCAAAACAAAAAAACAAGAAAGGGGGAAGGAACTGAAATGAGGGAATGAAAGGGATAGACAGACACTGAAAGAGCATAACTGGCAGAAGAGAGGCTCAGACTGGAGAAATGCATAAAACCAGAATGAGGGAAGTAAATTATTTAATATGAAGGTGATTTTGAAGTTTGTGTGTGCTCCTCGTCCACCCCACAACATAGAGAGACTAAATTTAAGTCCTTTGTTTATTCCAGGAGGCTTACAAAGGCCAGGTCTGATTCTGTCCTTTTGTGAACTTCAGAAACAAAGGAGCCCCTGCTCACTTGTGCAAAGTGACCAGCTCCTTTAGTTCAACTGACAGAGCATTTACCTAGGGACATGGACCCTGGTTCAAGTCCAATTAGTAAGTGCTCCTTTATAAGTGAATGTAACTGTGATGTGTCTTTAATTCAAAGCATCATACTCCGCCCCTTAGGGCTCCTGAACTGATGCTCAAGGAGGTCAACAGAACATACCTTTTCCTGCAGATTGCCCATGTATCCAAGATACAGTCGGATGGCCTCAATTAGAGAGACTAGGACGATTACTGTGACCAGGATGAACTTGTAGTAATCTGGCAAGACTGGGTACTAGAGAGAGGAAGAAAGTAGGAATTCCAGAGGGATGGAATGCACTATCATTATTTTATACGGCTCTACAGAAGCTTATGGTATTTGTGATCTGGAAATTCATGCAGCACTGTCAATGTTGCTGAAACCCAACAAGCCATAGCCCCTGATTTTTCAATCAACCTCCAACCAAACCTGCCACTAATTCTGTCATGAACTCCTGTCCCTCCAACTACTCTGACATTTCTGCGGAGACACTGCACTCTATTAAGTATCACTTTCCATGTCTGGGTTGAAGGTAATGAGTAGAAGGGCCAAATATTAGGGCTTGTCTTCACTCCCGCGGAGCTCAAGGCTGCTGCAATTGATGCTGTGGGTATCGACTTAGTGAAGACCTGCTAAATCGAAAGCAGAGCGCTCTCTAGTGGACTCCCCAAGAAGATTCAGGTAAGTTGACCGGAGAGCGTCTCCCATTGACGCAGCACAGTGAAGACACTGGGGTAAGTCGACCTAAGCTACGTTATTCACTTAGCTGGAGTAGCATAACTTAGGTCGACTTACCCCGGTAGTGAAGACAAACCCATAGTCTTGCAGACAGTGTGAGGAAATAAGATTCAGACAGGCACCACAGATGTTGGAGGGGATATGTTCCCTCAGGACTTACCTTCAGCTGGAGCATGACAACACTGCTCACCCACCAAAATGGGAAAAAATAAAGGTTGAAATAGAGGGACATCTGCAATGGCAAACTGGAGACTATTTCATTATCTAGAGAGAGAGAGAGAGAGAAATCCTCATCACCCAAGGTCTGTGTCAGACATTCTCTTTCCTACATACAGCAGAAACAGCTGCTACTGGGGGAGGGATAGCTCAGTGGTTTGAGCATTGGCCTGCTAAACCCAGGGTTATGAGTTCAATCCTTGAGGGGGCCATTTAGGGATCTGGGACAAAAATAAGGGGACAGTACTTGGTCCTGCTGTGAAGGCAGGGGACTGGAATTGATGCTCTTTCAAGGTCCCCTCCAGCTCTATGAGATACCATATTTTAAAAAAAAACAAAATAACTTCTACTTTAAGATATAGCAACTTCAACCAACATAATAATGGTTGGACTATGAGATCAATCAAGTTCAACATTAAGTATAGTGTGTTAAAATGTGCAACAGAAGAATTCTGCTACATCACAACTGTATTCTAAAGAATCTACGTGTGAAAGTGTATGCAAACCTACACCAGAAAGGAAGGGGTTAAGCAGCTGTTCTGCTGCCACACTTGCAAAACATGAATGGGTGGAAGAGAAGCTCAAAAGGAGAGCAGGCCAGCGCAGGAGAGTAGACAGTGGAGTTGAACTGACCTGCACTCTGAGCTCCTGAGGCCTGACTTTAGCAATGTGGTAGTCTCATCAACAGGGCGTAGGCTTAAGTGAGCATATATATTTGATTATCCTCAAATTAAAACTGATCCTTAAAGATCAGAACTCAGGCATGCTGGTGGGGAATCTTGCATCACTTGGTTTCGACACAATACCTTTCTTCTGTATAGAAAATTTTAGACTCCAGCAATGTCAATCCACTGTGCTTTTTTAAAAAGAGAACCACCAGTTTGGAATGTACATTAAAGAAAATGGAGTTCCAAATCAAACACTATGGAGAGAAGAAAATTAGCTGCTAAAACCCAGAAAAACAAAACTTTGACCCCTGCAATATTAAGTGGGAGGTGAAGTTCTACAGTATTTAGAATTTGCACATAGTTTCAAAAAAACTAGAGACACAAAAGTATAAAAAGCAAGTCCTTAAAAAATGAGATCAGGGAACAGTTTTGTTTCAACTGGCAAGTTTCCTTCTCCCATTATCCAATTTATTGATATCACATTAAATCTTGAATTAATGATCAATAAGCTGACTGTTGAAAGTTTCTCACATTACTCAAAGTGCAGCTCATAGAAGAATCAGCAATCACCACCATTTGTGGGGGTGGAAGGTCCTCTTTATGATTGCCTCACCTGTATTTCCTGTTAAGTGTCCCTGTTTCAGCAGGTCCAACTCAAATTTAAACACCTAAAATATCCCCTAAATTTGGTGCCAGTGGAAGCCTGATATATTTGATCTCTTAAAGTGCTTTGTGATATCTGGATGAAAAATGCTAGGTAGTAGTATCTGGCAAGTTACTTTGAGTGCCTGGCTAAATGTGAAGGGATCAGTGGTTATCAGAACAGTAATATTTTCACAGAAAGGCACAGTATGTTTTGCCCTAAGCTGATGTCTAATGGTATCCCATAATGTACCACAAGTTTCATAATTTTTGGTGCTTTTTGTAAAGCCCCAGCTTCTGGAGTCCTGTGATTGTGTGAGAATCTCAGCTTTCATTTTAAGCTGTTTCTAGCCCCCATGGTTGCCAAGAAAAGTGGCCAAAACCCTATTAACTCAAAACCACAAGGCACAGAAAAACAACCACAAACCTAATACTTGTTAAATCTCATGATTTTGATGATGGCCTCCTGAGTTCAGGGGTGGGAGGCCTGACTGGTGATTTTTGAACACAAAAGTGGGGTTGGCACTACAGTCCGGCCCCTTAGCGAGGCTCTAGCCCCCAATAAGGCAGCCTCACGGCCAGGCTGCGCGGGGTACCTGAGCCAAGCGGTGGTGCGGGGACAGTGTGAGTAGCGGGGGGACTGAAAGGCGGACACCCTGTATTCGGGCTGCTCTCACTACTTCTAGCCAGGGGGTGAACCGCGCCCCGCGGCAGCTGCTGCCACCCTTGGGGTGAGGGGAAGCTGTTGGCGCTAGGGGGTCATTCTTCCCCCCGGGGCCTTTGAACGCGGGGACACCGCGGAACCAGGCAGGCACGCGCCGTCGCACCAGCGCCCGGTGGAGCCCGGCGCTACCCGGAGTCCCGCTGTTGCGAGGCTAGCGTCGCCATCTTCGTTCCTGGCGGCGACCCTCTCCCTCTCTCCCCTGAGAGGATGCCGCCGCCATCTTTGTTGCGGGCACGGGGGTGCGGTTCTTTACCCAGGCTGCCGCTGCTGCCTCGGCGCTCCGGGCCGGTGCGGTTGCTGTCGCTGAACACAGTCCGGCTGAAGGAGCCGAGCCGCCTTCTGACCGGATCCGGCAGCGCCATGCTGGCCGCGCGAGGCGCATCCAACCCGCTGCTATGGCAACCGGGGCGCGAGCCGGGGCGGGAGCCGACGAAGCAGGGAGGAACCACGCCCCCTCTCTGTTACTAAGCGACGTGAGCATGCGCAGTAGCAATTATCGAAGCCGGCCCGCTATCCTGCGTCTGCCTTCCCCATCCCCAGGGCACAGAGGCTGAGTGCTGCTCGTTAGGGAGTCCCATTCCTGCCCCACGCTCTGGCCGACTCGGGATTGCTGCCCCAAGGCAGTGCCTGGCTGGTGCCAGCCCCAGAGCAGAGCCCCAGGGCTGGGGGACAGGGCCGGATTAACACAGGGGCTTTAGGGGGGCTGCAGCCCAGGGGGCGCGGGGCACAAAAATAAATCCATAATTATGTACAATACAGTGGTCACCAACCTGTTGAGCCTCTGCCAGTCGATTGTGATCTCCAGGCCGCGGAAAGTCCAGCGGGGCAGCAGGGCTCAGGCAGGCTGCCTGCAAGCTGTGGCCCCACACCACTCGTGGAAGCGGCTGGCTGCTGGCACGTGTCTGCAGCCCCTGGGGGGGGGGGGGCTCCGCATGCTGCCCCCACCCCCAGCACTGGCTCCGCAGCTCCCATTGGCTGCCCCCCGGTCAGACTCCCCTCCAGCACCAAAACTCCCTCAAACCGTGCACCTCAACTCCCTGCCCCAGGTCAGACTCCCCTCCTGCACCAAACTCCTTCCCAGAGCCTGTACCCCTCACCTTCTGCACCCCAACACTCTGCCCCAGCCTGGAGCCCCCACCTGCAGCCAAACTCCCTCCCAGAAAGAAACTAATAAAACAGCTGTTCTAAGGTAAGAAGTAGGCTATTTTGAATTAACTTAACTATGTTCTACATGTTTTAAGACTGAAATGTAACCACAGAAAGGCTTTGTGTTAATTATAAGGAAAGTTTAGTATAACATTAATAGCCTTGATGCCATAATTGTGATAATTTTGTTTTAAATTCGGAAAAAGACTTGTATATAGGGGCCCCACAAAATCTAATGGCCCTGGGTCCACAGGAGAGTTAATCCAGCCCTGCTGGGGAGTGCTAGTGTGCTGGTGAGCCTGTTCATGTGGCTGCAGGGTGTGTCCGACCCACCACGGCCACCCCAAAGTCTAGCTTTTCTTGCAATGTCCTTCTGTCCCAGGAGCTGCTTTCAGGGCACCTGAGTCCTTCCAGTTTTCCATTTCCTAAAAATTTTTTAAAAAAAAAATTTATTGTTTTCACTCCATGTTTGTTCGAGGAGTATCGCTATACTAAGCAGGAGTTCTGTGTTTATGGGAATAGTGCAGCGGAAGGAGCGTTTGGTGGCATGAATAACGAATGGTGGTTGGAATGGAGAGAAAAGCCAAGTGTTGACATTGTAGGAGCCATTCTTTGGCTTAGATTGAATGTTCGTGACATGTGTTCAGCGATTCATGGTGAATTCATTCACAGCTCGGAAATTTACTAGAAAATGCCCTCCACTCTGAGACACTTCCCTCTTGTGTGAGAAGCTGGCAGTAGTGACACCAGTACATATTTTTAAAACTACTTTTGAATGAGTATTTCATGACCCTTAAAAAAAGTTACTGCAAAAGTGTCCTGTTTTGTTTTTGTTTTTATTTTGGAAACATGGTCACCTTAATCCCACATACATGTGTCTACAGGACCTAGCAAGGAATAATAGTTTGCTAAGATTTGCCAAAATAGTCAGGGCTCAGTCTTCCCAGAGGAGAGTGAGGAATCCTTAAATACAATTTATTTTTTCCCTTGACTGCAGCTGATGATAAGTGTATGACTTTTGGCAGGAGTATTGATAACACTTGTAGTTTTAGCCTAGCTGGTGTAACTGCAGAGTGTGTTCGTATAAATGTGAATCCCTTTTTTAAAATAATCCTATTAAACTCTTTCCCTTGATAATATTCTCTAGGAGTGAGTGCTATAGATTAATTATTTGTGACTGTACAGAATTTTTATATCCATTTTACATTTAATCCCCCCTCATTGCCCAGCAGTACAAACACACAGAAATTTTTTTACATGTAACCATAAACATAAGTTTAGTGCTAGTAAAAGGTATTGGCACCAGATTGCCTTCACAGAGTTTCCCTGCACAGTGGGAATAGATGTGGGCAGGACCTTATTCCTTGAATTGCTCAGAAGAGATGTAGAGGAGGAAGGGTGTATGGGCAGCTTGGCGGAAGCTAGAGGTAACTGAGGAGTGAAGTTCAGAAGCAGGTGTGGTTCCTGGATGGGAATGAAAGTGGTTGGGAGTTGCTAGCAATTAATTAAAGCTGACCAGGTAGTTAAGTATTGCTGTGCCCATTTTATAGCTGAGGAAACACCATTAGGGTCTGACACTGTGAAATGTTGTGTGTACCTTCTCTTGAAACATAGGAGCTGAGAGAGGGTTCAGGTATGGGTCACGTGCAGGTATGAGAAGCAAGGTAAGCCAATCAATCTAAATGTTCCTCATAAAATATCAACTTGAAATTTTAAAAGACAAAATGATATAGCTCGTTTCTAGAATCCAGGGGTCCGGAATAAGACTCCCAATATCAGGCTCCAAAGACTAGACAAACCACCCATGAAAGCAAATATAAATAGTATGGAGTGGTTCTAGAGATAATTTTTACATCTGAGGAAACATTATAAAAAGGAATGGGTCTCAGAACATTAGAGTAGGCTTTTGATTGAATTGCCTGAAACCTCATTTTATCGTTGTTACATTGGTCTTGGGATATTGCACCTGAAGTCTAAAATGCATTAAATTATCCTACTATTCTGAGGTAACCCTATGAAAGGAGCAGGTAGACATGAAGTAAAAGTATGGCAGTGAATTGATGATTAAGCCAGCTCTTCATGGAAGTTCTTCCCACAGTGTGAGTTGGTAGGTCAAGGTTCCACATTATCATTCACACCTTCTTGATTTTCCTATTGATTACTTTCTCAGAAGTGAAGGAGACATTTTTCCTTACAAGTTGCATGATGATGTGCTGCTCATTTGCCAATCACTCTGCACAGATACCCTGATCTCTCATTCTAGTTTTCTAATTTTATAGGCCTAATTCTGCAGATCTGTCAAGTGTGAAGTCTCTAGTCACATGAGTATCTCCATTACAGTCAATGAGACTAGTCACATGATGAAGCACTCTTGACATAGGGAAGATTTGCAAAATTGGGCCCTTGGTTCCCAGAAATAGTGGGAGGTAGCACAGCTTAAACAATCAGTGAAGTGGTAAAACTGAGCAGCAAGTAGAGGAAAGGCCAGTGGAAGGCGGATACCAAAAGAAATGCATGGATTTGCTGTGTGCACTTGGTTTCCAAATTCAGGATGTGAATCTGTGATATTTGGCAGGACTGTGTGTTCAGCAGATGGCAAGCATCCTACCTGCCCCAGTGGAAAAAAATTCACACCTTTGTTTAATATTTAATTTTTATGAACATGCATGAAATATTCCCCAAAGATAGAATATGGCTGTATTCCAGCTAATCCTATTTAATTGTCCTTTGGCTTATGTACCCATCTTTTGTGAATTTAATGAACAGGAGATTTCCTCTGATTTTATGTAGTGTGTTTTTAGTGAGCAGATTCTTCCATTTCAAGCAGAAGGGGAACTTACATTTTTAAAGAACAGAGCCTTGGAAGCAGCTGAACTGGTAATTTAGTGCTTTATATAAAAGTGGGCCATAAGGGAAGGAAGAACATTAAACTGCACGTGACTGGAACTGTTCCAATATTTATACAGATGGTCATTGTAAGTGTTCAGCTTTTATAGTAGGCCTGGATATTAATCTCTTTCTTTTTTTAATGGAAGGGAATTCCATTGCTGTATCTCTTCATGTCTGTCCACATATGAATGGAGGGACAAGTACCCAGGGACTCCAATTCTTTATGCTTTGAAATAAGCTACTGGAATGAGAAACTGTGTGGAAGAAATAAACTCTTAATTGCACAGCATATTAAATTACTGTTTTATTTCTCTCCACACATGCTAACTATAAATAAAACAAAAGTCTCTGACAATCTGCCTCTGAGCTTTAAATCAGAGGAATATTGCCACAATTGTCCAACTAAATTGGGAGACACTGGCTGTGCTCCCAGACTGATGCTCCTGGGGTGCTCTGGCAACAAAACTAAGCCATAAACACCAGATGCGGTATATCTAACAAAATTTAATATCAGCAGTTTCTACATTTGGCATTTCAGAAACACAGAGTTCATTTAAATGGTGCCAGAGGTTTATCTTTCCACCTTAATCATTATAGCTGTACTACGAAATGCGTTGATTTGGGTCTTACTGACATTGTTTTCTTCTGGGTTCATAAAGTAGATCCCAGCCCTGAGTGTGAGGTCATAGCCATCGCTCTGTGTAGTATAAATCATTCACGTCTCAGCTTTTCCTTTAAAAAACTTGTACCTTTTTAAGATAAAAGACTGTAAAATGGATATAGTGTTGGTCAGCACATACAAGCTTAGAGTACAAAGTCTGGCTCTTTTCCACTGTTAGGAGTAAAGAAGTGACAGGCTGAGAGTTTTAACAAATTACAAATACCACAAAGACTATAATATGCATGTTTGAAAAGATCATGTTGTTAGCTTGACAACCTCTGCCAGAGCAATTTTACAGCTGTGCTCCTGGCTTGCAGTACATTTACTTTTCTCTATCATTAACACTCTAGTGCCCAGTGGTCATTTAACACCCACAGGATTTTTTGGTCTGGAAAACAATTATTACTACTGATGAGGCCTGCTTGAAGACTCCTTTTTTCACCAGGTTTCAGAGTAACAGCCGTGTTAGTCTGTATTCGCAAAAAGAAAAGGAGTACTTGTGGCACCTTAGAATAAATTGGTTAGTCTCTAAGGTGCCACAAGTACTCCTTTTCTTTTTTCACCAGTTATTTACACACACGCGTGCTAAGTGTTAAATATATCTCTGTGATTGTAATCTTAAATCAGCATCAAGGAGGTGGCAGATAAGGCTGGATCTTGCTCTTGTTGAAGTCAACAGCATTGAAGAAGTTTAAAGGATGATGGATTTCACCATTTCAGTGTTCAGCTAAAATGACTGTAGCACATACTTTATTATTAATGATTTTTAGTTTTGTTAACTTTATTGGGAAACTGCTAAAACAGGCAACGACATTCTTGTTGCAGCAACAGTGAAGGTTCTTATGGTTCAGGGAACTATCGTAAGCGTAAAAATTTTGAGCCAGAAACATATTTATACATAGAGAATCAGGCTCTTAATTTTTAAAATGTGGCTTTGGAACATCCATGAAAGGCTAACTTCTGCCATTATTGGCACACTGTGTATCTTAAATCTTGCTTCTCTCCCACAACATCTGTATTGGCATATGTATGTTTGTGTTAGATGGTCTTCAAAATGCATAGATAAATTCAGCCCTCATTTAGACCTATGCATCCTCACTATCACAGGATTCTATAGCTACTTATAACTAAGGCCAGAATCCAGGCGACGGTGTCTACTCAGATTTATTTTTTTCGGTTTGTACAAGATGGCTATCGGCAGCTCCCAAAGAAGCAAATCCTCATCACAGTATGGTAGGTTATGCTCTTTGTGGGAGCTATGCATCGGGAATCCTTCTATCCAATATTTTCCCCAAAAATTGAAATTAGACAGGGTATTCAGATTTACAGGGGGGTGAGGGACGAGGGGTCAGACGGTGAGGGTATAGCATCATAGTAAAAACTGAAAAATGTTTCATGACCATTTTGTTAGATTTAACTTATGTTTTAAAATTATCACCCAAATTAAAGTTGGCTACCCAACTTGCCTTCTATGAAGCACTAAATCTATATCA